TGATGAAGTACAGGTGAAGATGCAGGCCATAGCTAGCAGTGTGAAGGCATGGAGATAGAAGAGAGGTTATTGTTCTAGTCCCTTTAAAACCTTCTTTACAACATGTGCCCAATCTGTATTTCCAGCCTCGTTGAATTTTCATTCATGGCTCAGCCAATATCTCCACCTTCACTCTATATTAAAGAGGGAGGTCTTTGCAATCTACTCAGATATTAGAGTTCAGGAAGGGAAGTCATATGCAATGAGACTGGAAATAAAAGTTGGGGACATGTGAAGGGCATCAAAAGCTAAATAGAAGATAGTACATTTCTTCCTAGAAGTGAAAGGGACCTACTGGAACTGATTGAGCAGGGGAATCACAATCAGATATTTACTTAAGGAAAATCACCTTGGCCGTTACGTGGAGTATGAACTAGAATGGGGAGAGATTTAAGGCAAGGAGAGCAATTAGGAGACTGAGTTAATAATATAAGTGAGAGATGATGAGGACCTGAATTGGTAGCTGGCACAGTAGTAGAAACTAATAGAATAGAGAAAAGGGGTCAAATGTGAGAGAGGTTGTGGATGCAGAAACTGTAAAATCTGGCAAATGACTGGATATATGGGGTGAGGGAGAGTGAGGAGTCGAGGGGTAACACCAAGGTTACAAAACTGAGAGATGTAGTGCTTATCTTATGATAGCTTAAGGGGATGAAACAGTCTATTGAAAGTGTTTTTTAAAGGATGGGCTAGAGTTGTGAGAGACTGAATATTAGAGAGGGGATGGCTGAGGTTATAAATTGGCTGGAGAAGGAATTGGCAAGGAATGGGTTCAAGGACACATGTACATAGCTCTTGGCAAGGGTAAGGAACATTTTATTGTTAGAAGCTAGGGGATACAAAGAGAGTAGGAAATGAAATTTTGGGAAAGAGGGAGCTTGTGTTGAATGGCCTCAATATTTTCAGTAAAGTTAAGAGGTGAAGAAAAGGTTTGGAAAAGCCTTGGTGAGGAATGAGCTAGGGAATCAGTTTGGGAGGAACTGCTTCACTGCCATGGGGGCCTAGTTGAAGTTGGATAACATGAATTTATAATGTAGCCAGTCACTATGGTTATATGTGAGTAGGAGGTAAGGAGAAAGATGGTGGGAGTAATCCAAGGCTGAAGTTTGGCAAGGCATGAGTGATGACAGGCAAGGGGGCAAGAGATTTGAGTGTAGAAGACAGTGTAGAGTTGACTTGGTAAATTACAGGGTCAAAATTGGAGAGAAGAGCAAATAAAGATAGAGCAGGGGTAATGTACTGAGGGGTAGAGGAATTGGAAGTTCTGAGGAAGATGAAGAAGCAGTTTAGAAAGAGGTGAGACATAGGGGATAAAATGCTAGGAGGTTATGGTCGGAATATCAGTTTTTGATTATGGAGGGGCACACTTGCTGGAATGGTGAGATCTTGGGTGCATGAGGAAATGGTATGTGTCTCTGTACAATCTTTTTTATTTTCGCCACTTCATCTCTTCCAAGGATTACAACCTTGTAATGATCAAATCAGAAGTGAAGATTTGGAACTTTATGGGTGAGTAAAGGAAGGATTTAGAAGTAGGAGGGAAAGAAATATATAGCAAATGGAGCAGAAATTGAGAATAAAACAATGTTAATACCATTGTCCTTTGGAACCTAAGGAAAGGGGAGTATCACTAAAACAGAACTATGTTTATTTTCATTAATTGGAAGGGATCCTACAAAACAACATGGTACCATGACAGGGTATAGTAGGAAAAGTATTGGATTTGGAGTCAAGGGTTCTGGGTTTGAATTCCATCTTGTGTGATTGTGGCTCAGTCATTTAATATCTCTGGGCATCTGTTTCCTCTTATTTATGTCTGCAAAAAGAAGAGTCCCTTTCAGATTCAAATCTAAAATTTAATATTTTATTATTATCACTATTAGTCATGGAATATCAGAATTGCAAGGGACCTCAGAAATTTAATACAGTTTCTTATTATTTTGCAAAAGAAAATGGAGCCAGAGATGCAAGTGAATTTTGTCCAAGGATGTATGGCTAGTCAGTGGCAGAGACAGGAAGAAAACTCACATCTCCTTAAGTTTGGATGACCCTTTTTTCTACTGCTCCTTCTAAAATGAAGATGCAGAGCTTTCTAGAAAAGGTTTTTTCAAATGATTTCAGAAAAGCTACTTCCCTGAACTTTACTAAAGTCCCTCAAGCGTCTGCTCCTCCTTGGAAAATACCATTCTGATGTGCTTTAAAGTGAACAGATTATCGTACCCTTCACCCCCTCCCCCTACCCCCCGCAACAAAAGAGGGGTGGTGTGTGCAAGGTACCCAAGATCAGAGATGGCTCTTCTAAGCACTCTTGCTCCTTCATGTTATCCCACTTTCTGATATCCCTAGATGATCTTACTCATCTCATCAATGACTTTACAACATCCAGCTCTGCTTCTTTGTTCACATAACAGGCATGTATTCAGAAAGATGAGGAAGAGTGGGGCTGTTTGAATGAAAGGGAGATGGGTGGCAAGAAACCGAAATCCTTAGTAGTTATAACCTGCTCTGAATTCTTGGGGTCTTCAAGAAGTAAGATATTAATGAGAGCTACTGTTACTCGATGCTAGTGGCTTAGGTGAACTCCTTCATAAAATAAAAATCAAATTAGAGAAAGATCAGACTTGTGGGGGTCACTGCTTTTCAAGAGTATCTCTCAAAACTCAACATGTCTAAGACAAAACTTATTACCTTTTCCCTAAAACCTTTCCCTCTCCCAAGCTTCCCTACTTCTTTAAAGGGTACCGCCATCAGTCCTGTTTCCCAGGTTTATAGCTTCACCATTATTCTCATTGTCTCTCAACCAATTAGGCAGCAATTCCTGCCATCCTAACTTCCCCAACATTTCTGAATTCTGACCCCTTCTCTTTACTAACAAAGTCACCACTTAGTTCAGGCCTGCACTGTTTCAATGGCCTCATAATTGGTCTCCTAGCTTCAAGTCTCTCTCTACTCCAATCCATTCTTTACACAGCTGTCAAAATGATTTTTCTTAACTGCGATTCTAACTATGTCACTCCTCTAGACAATAAACAGGTCCCAGTTCAGGACCATGGGTCCACTGTAAATTCATGCTATATAAACTCAATTAAGTCTTCACTGAAGTATTGCAATTCATTTACTCCTTCTCTATTCTCCAAAATGGTTCTTTGCAAAGTTTTTCTTCTTTGCTCAAAGCCCCCATTCACCTTTCACCTGCTATCAGCTGAAGTCCTGAACTCATTATTTCCCAAGAAAGTCAAGGTCATAGTCCACAAACTTGCTCATGCTGTCCTCATTACACTACAAACCCTTAATACCATTCCCTCAAATCCCCTTTTACCCCAATTACTGATGAAAAACTAGACTTTTTTCTTGCCAATTTCTCTATATGTGACCTGGATCTACGTGTACCTTATCAATTGTCCGGCAGATTGCTCTCACTTGTATGGATGCTCTCTTCCTAGTTTTTAGTACTTCCTTAATAATTTTTTTTTCACTGCTGCCTACAAACATGTCTAAGTCTACCCTGTCATTAAAAAATCCTCACTAGAGCCAATCAATCATCTCTGGTAGCTAGTCATGTACCTCTCCTCCCCTTTTCAATCAAAATCATTGAAAATAGCCACCTATACAGGGTATCTCCATTTCCTCTCTTCCCACTTTCTTCTAAACTCCCTCCCCCCAGCCTCTCCTCCTGGATGCGTTCTCATCTCTGGGTTTTTATCTTACTTCTCTGAGCACTCTTCAGTCTCTTTTTGCTGGTTTATCATTCATATCATATCCCTAATTGGGGGGGAGGTGTTCTCTGAGACTTTTGTCTGATCCCTCTTCTCTCTAGTCCTATGGCTTCAATTATCACCTCTATGCAGGTGACTCCTTGATCTAGCTCTAGTCTCCCTTCTGAGCACCATTCTTGCATCACAAATTGTCTGTTGGATATCTTGAACTGGATGTCCCAAAGCCATCTCAAACTCAAACAGAACTCATTATCATAAAATTTGAGAGTTAAAGTGAAATGCCATCTAGTCCAACCCATACACGAAAAGAATGCATACTATAACACAGCCAGTAAGTGTTATCTAGCTTCAGCTTGGAGACATCTAAGGAGGGGAAACCCACCATTTCTCAAGGCAAAATATTTTACTTTTGGATAGCTCTAATTGGTGGGAAGTTTTTTTCCCCCCGGATATTAAGGCTAAATCTGCAACTCTTCCCTATGACAAGCCTTGAAATATTTGAAGACAGTGATCATATACACTTGCGTCTTCTCCAAACTAAACATGCCAAGGTCCTCCAAATGATCTTCGTGACATGGACTTAAGGCCCTTTACCATCCTGTTGTCTTCCTCTCTTGAGCTTATCAATGTCCTTCTTAATTCTCATAACTGAACACAGTATTCTAGATGGTTTGATGAGGACAGAGTAGAGTGGGACCATCACCTTCCTAATCCTGAGAAATACATTCCTGTTTCTTATGGCAGCTATATCACACTGCTGACTTACACTGATCTTGCAGTCCAATAAAACCCCCAGATCGTCTTCAGAACAACTGCTGCCTAATCATGCCTTCCCTATCTCATACTTAAATTGTTTTTGTGTACCCCAAGGTTAAGACTTTTACATTTATCTATTGAATTTTACCTTATCAGCTGCAGATCCATGCTCTAAAGCTCTAAAGATACTTAGGACTCCTGATTCTGCCCTCCAGTATGCTGGCTTTTGTTTCCTTTAGGAATAACTTATTCTTCCTTACAAATTGGAGTACATATAGGTGTTCTTTGAGTCCTTTCACCTTCTCCAGGAGGGAGCTCTGTCCTACCCTTGGAGCACAGATAAGGGTCATTTGGCGTGGGATAAAAAGTCTGAAATAAAGGCTAACTAGCCTGTCTAGTTAGAAATTAGGTAGGCCAATCTAAGTTTTCTGCTCTGTTACCTTTGCTGGTTCCAAGTTCCTCAAAAAGTATATTTGACCATTACTACTTCCAACATGCTGTTAAAATCTCTTTGCAAAGAATATTGGTTGGGAGTGGTTCTGGTGGAATCAGATCCTAAGACAAAGTGAACTTTTTCTGATTTGCAATGAGTCTCACTTTGGAAAAGCTCCCTTGATTCAGAAAGCTCCTGGCATCTGGCTCTTCCCATCAGACATAAGAACAAGTCAGATCAGCACCTTTTAATGTCAAGATTTCACAAAAATAAAGAGGAGAGAGAATCTACTAAAAAAGACAAGAACAGTAGGAATAAATGAAAGCATTCCTTTAATTGAACGCAAGAACAACCCCTGAAAGAGGAAAGTCATCAAAGGAAACATGTTAAAGGTAAGACTAAATATCAAATCTGGTTACACAAATTATAAATGAATACAGAGAATGAAAGGGAAAAGGGAAAGGATTTTTTTTTGATGTTTAAAAAAAATTAGGATTAGTGTAGGGATTAACTTAAAAAGGAGATAACAACTCCCATACTCCAATTATTTCATCTATTAGATGAATCCCTATTAACAGATATTAACAGATAATAAATAGCTGAAACCTTAAGTTTAGAAAGAAATGCTGCTAACGCACACATGGGTCCTTGAACAAAGAAAGCAAAGAAAATGCCACTTATGTCCTAAAGTAAGAGTTGCAATTATTTTGTATCCTAGCCTCTTATAAATGAATTGAGAGCACTTTATTTCCTTATCTAAGCTACCCAGTCTGGTTGTAGGTGAAAAACAAGACTAGAATTATGTTGTTCCTCTATATCTTTAAACCTGCAGGGAATAGCAAGCAGACTAGAAATGACTAATTTATGTCCAAACTGGAGGCAGGTAATAAGTTGACATGCAACATGCAATGCTGTGCAAAACATAAACAGGCAATCCAAAGTGATAATGAAATAAGTCAGTTGTAATCAGACTGACTAAATTTAGAGAACAGGAATACTGTTCCCCATTAGTTCAAGGAAGGCAAGTGGCCAGTACACTTATTCTTCAGGTCTTAGGGTGCAAACAGGGATACACTTAGGATAATCATTTTGCATTTTAGGAGCACCAAGATGGAATTTTATTTTTGTTCTAAAAACGGAAAAAACTTAGATATGAAGATACATAAAATGGTTTGTTTGTGACTCCTGTACTCGAATGGAGATGGCTTTGGGTTCTTAAAGTCAATTCTAATGAAGCATAAGTTCTTACCAAAGGAAAGGTCTTACCAAGCTGGAAAGGCTTTGGGTATAGGCCAAATAGACTATGGTCTGAAGTCTAGAATAGTTAAGTTTGGAGAGCTCATTATCAGAGAGCTGGCTAGTAGGTGGCAAATATTTTTGGTCAGAGAAACCCAAGGAACCATCTAATAAAGAATGGAGGGACTGTCATCTGCATCAATGGAAGGAATAACCACATTGCCGAAATATTGCTCTTCTGAGGTACTGAAGAAATGTTCATGATATGTTAGGAATCTGTGAGTGATCAAAGAAAACAGAGACTAAAACTTGGAAAAGCTTGATCCTTCTCTCCTAGTTCTAATCGTCAGGCAACATTTCCTCCTAGGAAACACTTTAAGCCACACCAAAGACAATGACATTACTTTCCACGTATCAATGAAACAGGCAAGTCAAATCAATGCTGAAGGGCTGAGATACTGACAGAAACCACACCAAAACACACTTATATTATATTTATCAGATTCTATCATAATTTTGACAGAGAAACAGGTTAGTTTTGTGTTACCAGGAAATCCCAAAGTGAACCAGACGCTACTGACAGAGATACTGCTGGAGGAGGAATGGAGCCACATGGATCACTTCAGCCAGCTCTGGAAAGGCATCCTTGGGTGATATGCTTTAGACTCTAAAAAAAAAATCCATGCAGACCTACCTCTTGTTGTTGGTAACATGTCTGAAAGCCCTTGCCAGGCAGTCACCATCTCAGGGTTCTTTTCCACATCTGCAAAATTCTTCCACACCCTGATGGCACCATCATCTGAAGAAGAAAAGAGAAGGACGTCAAAGGCACCGTCTCTCTCAGGCACTATTTGGGAGTTTTGGAGAGAGACAGGCAGTCAAAGGACCTATGTCACTGAAAAAGAATGAATATGTCACTTCATTTGGTAGACTGACTGATGAAGAAATGGACCTAGCCTTCTTGATTTGTTCCTTTTTTCTTTATATGCCTCTCTCTGCAACCCAGCCAAAAAAAAGATCATCCTGCAAAGATGTGAGGGTGCTTTATTATTTTCCTTTTCATGGGCAAACACACCTAGCTAACTACAGAACAGGTCCTTGAACCAATTTTAGCTTCTCCAGTGCCTCAGACTGTTATTTCCTTCTTATCAGTATTGAAGCACTAGTTGTAAAATCCTGCAACCTGTAAGAAGAACTATGACAAAGCCCAAACTCTGAACAGCATTCTTCACTTTGCCTATTCTGCTCCTCTCTATGTCAAGATTTTATGTGTTAAGAAAAAAAAGCAATAATTTCTAAGGAAAAAAAGTTTTTATGCCCTTTCACACTCCCTTCCCACATCATTTAATTATGCTCAACACACAAACTGTAGTTTCAGTGATGGAAACAACTGAAACCAGCTGGACCATCAAGATTAAGAAACTGAGTTGAGAACACTATTGTCAGTTCTCAGTCTGCTGAGCAGAGGAAAACATCCTTTCCTTTGATTTCCTTTGTTAAGTGAAGACACACCTTTCCCATGGCCTCATTTTGATAGGAGCTCATCAGAGGAGCTAGAGGGAGTGTTTGCCATGGCCTAGGCCTGACAGCTAGCCTTTATGGCTTAATACCAAATAGAACATTGAAAGAAAAAAGCCACATGGGTGTATTTCTTTCAGCCTCTTGCCTGTTCACTGGCTCAGTTTCCCTGTTTTGTATTTGCATTATTCAGAACTCATTAATTTCTTCACAAAACCCTTAGTGATTTGGGCACCTTGAACTGTCCAATGCATCTGCCCATTGTAGCTGATAATCTCAACTCATGCTTTGGAAAGAATTATATCATGCAGCAGGCACCTTTAGTAAATGTTTGTTCGACTAAATGAAATATTCTCATTCTGATCTTAACCTGATCTTCTTCACATCCTTTTCCCTTCACCTTGGTTTTGACTTCTCAATGATTCCTCTTTCAACTTGAATTCCTCTTCTTGCTTTCTCCCTCATCAGCTAAGAACACTTAGTTTATCCTGTCTTTTTTCCCCCTACCCTCACCATTAATCTGTCCTCCTCTTAAAAGTACTTTCTTGATTTTTAAAGGGATGCCACAGTCTCATCTATACTAAAATACACTTTTGCTGACAGGATTCTTTCTTTTCTATATCAAACTCTTGGTCAATCAATTCAACTCTACATTATCCTCTATATTCAACACCCATGGCCTCTTATCCTATTACTGATTATGTTTTGCTAAGCCTCGACCCTGGATTACTCCATTCTCTATTGCCCTTGTTCATATTTCATGTACTGTTGAATGAAGGTGAAGAAAATCACAAAATATGTTTCCCTCACTCTCAAAAACAATAAATTAAAAACCCTCACTTTATCTGAACATCCCTGCTAATTACTGTCCTTCGTCCCATTTTTTTTTTTTGCTAAAAAGCCTTGAAAAAGTTATCTATTCTCAGTGCTTCTACTACCTCTTTTCTCTTCTAAACCCTTGTCAGCTGAAGTTCCAACCTTATCATTCAGCTGAAGCTGCTTTCTCCAAAGTCACTTCTTATTTGCCAAATCTAATGACCTTTTCTTCATCTTCAATCTTTTTTGACCTCTCTGAAACTTCCGACACTGTGAGTGAACCTCTTCCCTGCCATACTTTCTCCTCTTCATGATACTGCTCTCTCTTGGTTCTCCTCCTACCTGTCTGACGTCTTCTCAGTCTCTTTTGCTAAATCATCATCCAAGTCACACTGGCTAACTATAGGTATCTGCCAAGGCTCGGTCCCACGGGGCTTCTTTTTTTCTCTCTCCATTTTATCTTGGCTGGTGTTCTCATCAGCACTCATGGATTCAGTTGCCATCTCTATGCTGATGATTCTCAGATCTATTTATCTTCATTCTTCTCTTCTGACCTCCATTCTTGCATCTCTACCTGCTTTTTGGACATCTTGAACTGATATCCCATAAAACATCTTAAACTCAACACGTCCGAAACAGAAATCATTATCTTTTCCCTTAAGTTACCTCCTAACTTCCACATTCCTGTCAATGCTACTTTCTGCCATCATTTCGATCATCTAGACTCACAACTAGGTGATATCTTGGACTTTTTACTTTCACTCGTTCAATGTATCTAATCTGTTGCCAGGTCCTGTCATTTCTGCCTTCCCAACATTTCTCATATATGTCCCCCTTTCTTCTGCGGTTTGGAATCTCTCTCCACTCCAGTCTAGTCTCATGCTCACCTGCCAGTAATCTTAAAGCACAAGTTTTACTTTGCTATTCTTTGCCCTTCACCTCTCCCCTCTGCCCACTCCAGTCACTTCGTATTACCTCCAAGATCAATTATAAAATCCTTTGTTTGGCTTGTAAAGCCCATCACAAGCTGGCTCCTTGCTACCATACTTTATTGCCCTTCACGTACTCTACAGCGAGAGCTTCCTTGCTATTCCTTTCATAGGACCCTCCATCTCTTGATTCTGTGCCTCTTCATTGGCTGCCCCATGCCTGGAATACTTTCTCATCATCTCTGCTTCCTGGCTTCCTCCAAGACTCAGACCAAATCATACCTTCCGCAAGAGGCCTTTCTCAATCTCTGCCTTCCCTCTGAGACTACCTCCAATCTGCCCTATATATATCATGTATGTGCCTAGTCATTTGCATGTTGTCGCTTCCCTTAGAAAGGCGAGCTTCTTTGGGGGAACAGGGCTGTCTCTGCTTTTCCCTGTATCTTCACTACTTACCGCGGTGCCTGGCATGTAGCAGGCATTTAATGAGTGCTTGCTGACTTGACTGATTATCTTCTCTAACCACCACTTCATATTGTTCCCCTACTATTCTCACTTCCTTTTCCTGTTATGGTAATGGGAAAACTCCAAAATGTAATCTCCAGCTGGTTTCATCTAGTGAAATTGTTCTGGTCCTGCCTGCTACAGTACAGAGAAAAAAAATTCTTATATGGTTAAAGGTTTCATGATAGAGCCTTGAAAGGCTCTTGAGAATATGAGAAACTGAAGAACAATGAATTCTGGTCACTGTTTAAATATTCAATACATTCTGAAGCAAACAGTCCAAAGGAGCAAAAAAAGCAGTTCAACTCATCCCATTTTGTTCTTATTCCTAAAATCTCTCAATAGCTTTCTTTTCCTCTAAATACAACAACAAAATTGCTCTGAAATTC